CTCCCACCTGGGGCTGAACCACCACAAATGTCTAACAGCTTTGTCCGGTACAGCAAAACAAAGAGGCAAAAGGTTGTACTGCAAGGTGCTTGATGCAGAGGGACAAAGTGAGATGCTGAAAAAAGGAAAAGTATCTCACTGCATACGTGAGGGACAGAGGAGAGCAGGGTTTCATAAGGCTAGCAGCCGTCATGATAGAAGATCATGTCTTGGAAGTGACCAGTAAGTGCTACCTCAATACTCCACTGTCAGAAATCATCAGAAATTGAAAACACTTCACATCTTTTTCTCCATTGAGGGCTTTGCCTGAGTAAGCTCTGTCTAGAGCTCATATCTCTTTCTAGTACCAGTAACAATTTGCCAGAAAGACCTGTAAGTGCTGCTTTTAAACCAGAGCTAGAGTGACCACCCAAAGGTCCTTTGAATTATTTCTTCTTGTAGTGGGCACAGCATTACCTTTCTTCTGGTGGATTCTATGGTGAAAGCTTTGAGTCTTTCAGAAGCTCATACTCAGTTAAGAGTGTCATAGCAGTTACATCTTGTGTCAGTGTGGGCAGCACGGAGCAGCAGGGAGTCCCCATGCAGGTGCAAAGGAGGAACTTTATTTACAAAAACCTGGCCTTTTTATGTCATCAGTTGACCGTTAGTTTACATACTTTTTAGGCACAACAAACTCACTTTCACCAACCACCAAACACCCCGGTGCAAACACACAGCATGCCTTGCCTCCTCTATTCTAGCTGAGTCTCTCTCCCAGAGCCCTTCTCTGCTTAGCCTCAGTTACAGCCCAGAGCTGTGATTTTACCAGGCATTCCCTTACAGAGCTGTACCTATCAGCTACAACATCTATCACCCACTAAGAATTTGACAGAACACTTCTAAATTGTTGTTATAAACCAGTTCTTGGGGTTTGCGCGGATGGAAATGCTAAAGTGACAGCAAAAGAGAGAAAACCGAAGCTTGTAATGTGAGATTGCTGGTCCAACTCACTTGATCCCATAATGCAATTTGCCTATTATTCCACCGAGATGTTCCAGTAGAGAAGAGCTTTTTCATATTTCCAAGGAATAAAACTTTATTGACTCTATGAGACTTGTAGCTGGCTTCCTATAGGGAGACAAAGGACACTGTGAGTAAAAGACAGCACTTGTTGCATAGTTACATTTCATGTTACATGAGATCTATGAGTCAGTCACATCTGAAAGATGTGCTCAGCCTGGCTGAACTACGGTGAGCAGGATTTCATGTGGATCTGAGAAAAGTGGCCTAAACTCTTCAGGACCATTTCCAAAAGCCCACTCAATCTCTCTGTCTACTGATTTACACGTATGCAACAGAGCAACCCCTATTAGTTATAGACAAGACTTTCTGCGTACAGAAATCTGTGCAAACACCTACACAATGAAGTTAGCTTCATCTTACCTACCTGTAAGACTGTTCCTGCACGAGGATCTATCAGACGTATCTTCCTGTCTCTGCAAGCTGTGGCAAGGAGACTGCCATCTGTGTTGAATGACATGGAAAGGACCACGTCTTTGTGAGCATCAAGGATCTTCACTGGGTTTGAGATGACAGCCTCCTTGGTGTCAAGGTTCCAGATCATTATCTGAAGCAAAAGAACAAAAAATTAGCCCTTTGCTGCCTGACTATCTGGGGACCTTGTGTACCCTCTTCACTTCTTCCTCTCTTCTCTACATGTATAGGTCTTACTATCATCAGTGGTTATTCTGCAACATTTAAAATAATTCCTGATACTTACAGCAATATATCAGGGACATAGTGTTTCCTCAGAATGTCAAATATTCTTTACTGTTCAATATTTCCTTTGCAACCACATTTTATACATGAAAGTGGCCAGCCATCTTTGCAGATATTTGCATTAGCAAAAGAAAGGAAACAAACAGAAATGCGTGGTGTTGCATATTGTATCAAATCTAGTAAAGGAGAAGGGCAGAACAAACAGAAGTTCATCAGAAAACTCAAAAATTAGCAAATCCTTTTGAACTTGCAGCAATGTCCTTTTGCCTTTCGAGTCACCATGGAATTTCCCCCTGAAGAAGGGTTCTGAACTCTCTAGTATGATCTTACAGTTTGAAATTAAAATAAATTTCAAAACACCGTATCATACAGGAAGAGAGCTCCACAGAGAACAGACCCACCTTGTAGTCATAGCCAGAGCTGAAGAGGATGTTATTAGCAGTGGGATGCCATTCAATGAGGCCCACTCTTCGAACATGCCCCAGAAGTTCCTTCTTTGGAATGGTAATATTTCTTGTTAGCAAGTGCTTAGGGATGTCCCAGATTTTAACCTGAATGGCACAGGATAGGTCTTTGTGAGATTTTTGAGCAAGAAGCAACTTTGGAACTTACCAGTAACTATTATTGATGAAGATTCATAACTGTTTCTTAAATTAGTATCTTTACTTTTTTGAGGGCCTGAAGACTCTTCTCTACCCTCTGTCTTTAGCCAGCAGTTCTACCGGTTTGTTTTAACTTGGCAATCCAACCCCTAGACCTGGCCAAGCTGTCAGCACAATCATGAAAAGTTATTCCTAAGGGGAAGAAGTAAACCACAGATCTTGCAGACCTTGCTTCCTAATGAACTCTGAGAAGGAACAAACAAATTTGAAATGACATTCAGTAAAGTGTCCCAGAAGATACTATAGCAGTAATTAATCCAAGAGGTCATCCAACCAACAGTACCTGGCAAAAGAACTGGAAACTCCCCTGGTCAGATGACAGCTGTAGTGCTGTCTGTCCCACAGAAAACTGCACCAGTGCTGAACGCTTTGCGAATGACACAGCCATTTGTCAAAGGACACAGAAGCCCACCCAGATGGCCACATGGCAGATACCATCAGCAGAGAGACAAGAGTAAGCAGCACCACTCTGAAGTCACAACACTGGAAGTGTGCTGTCTCCTAACAGGTTTACCTGCAGCCCTGCGTTCCTCTAGGAGGGTGCTGCATGAAGACAAAAATCTTCCATCCTCCAGGGCTGGCAGAAGACAATAGAGGGTACCTGCAAATGGGGTTGAACCTATGCAGGTAAAATGAAAGCCTTTCTCACACTAATCAAAGGAAGTCAAGTACATAGTATGTTAACAGATGATTAACCCTTTGGCTCAGTGAAAACTGCAATGCTTGTCATAATTATTTTAGAACTTAGCCTGAAGCAAAAGGGAAATTCTCTTTGAAGCAGATAGTTTCTGGAAGCTAGCCATACCTTTTTGACTTCCAGCCTTCCAGTTTGACTGATGAGGATCACACCTTTCTAAACCAAAGAAAGAGAGGCACAAATTCTGGGACATGCTGGGAAAGATCATGAGCAGCCTTCTCAGTAGGGTTTATCCCACTGAGGAATCAAGGTCATCAGAAACCTAGGGACTGTGGGGTCCAATAGCTTCTAGGTGAACTTCTACAGTGGTAAGAGAAAGCATCACACTCTGCAGCTTCAACAGCTATCACTAAAGGAATGAGGCTGAGAGAGTAGGAAAAGGAAAAATATGTTCACACTGAGGAAGACTTGTCTAGAATGAACAATTCACTCTCCACGCTATGAAATGGATGGTGGTAAAACCAGAGAAAAGCCCCTGACTGGAATCTGATGATGCATTACATAGCAGAAATTGCCAGTCCTTGGGTGCACAGAAGAAGCAGGTCTTGGAGCCAGACCAGCCAGACCAGTCAGGAACAATCCACAAGCTACCTACCCTTCTGCATCACAAAGAAAACCTGGCAAAGCAAAGTAAAAGACACAGAGTTGCCCCTCTAGCCACAAGGGAGAAGATCTTCAGCAATGAATTCAAATGTGCCTGATAATTTGCCAAAAGGAAACTACAAACTCTCAGCCCCTGGCCACTTACACCGGCCTCAGTCCTACGCCTGTGGGAACTAGAAAGGGCACTGATTGTTCACAGAGACTATCCATCCTCTCCCATGTCCAAAAGTACCACCCTGCCTGCTTCAGCTACATACCACAGAAGATAGCTGTGGTAACACCAAACTAAATTCTAGAAAGGCTGATTAATGGCCAAGAAACCACTGAAGAATGTGGGTGATGAGAAATTTCCACCATCTTCACAGAAGTTTCTAGCCTTTCTCAAAAGTTGCAGGGAACCCAGGCCAGTAAGAGTAATCAGATGCATCCTTGCACAGAAGCCATGTGGTGCTTATGTTAATGTTTGTAAATGGCAGAGAGCACCAGACTTTTAACAACAGAATGCAAGGAAGGTTTTGGCTCTATGCCCAGCCCAGTGGAAGTGGTGGGCAGATGTGGGACCACAAAAACACTTCCTCAGGCTTCTCTCAGGACAGAGAAAGTGTTGCTGCAGAGATTTCCCAACAGTATGTCCGACCTGGTCTCTCCAGTACAGGCCAGGACAGATGTTGACCCCATGGAAGGAGTCTAGCAGCAGCCACTGAGAAGAGGTGGGGATGAGAGCACAGTAAACCTGGGGTGAGCTGGAAGAAACAGGTTTTGTTCAGTGTGGGAGGAGAAGGCGAGCTCTTATGGCTGCCCTCCAACTACATTGCAAGAAGGCACAGAGATGATGAAGCAAGCCTCTTTGGAGGTGCACAAGGAGATCACTGAAGGCCATGGACACAAATCACAGTATGGTCACTCCCTGGAGATCAGAGGAGCCCTATTTTCCTTAGAAGGGTACTCCACCCCTGGAAGAACCAGGTGAGGCCACAGGTTCTGTAGCCTTTGATGTGCTCCAAACTCATCCAGACAAGGCTTGGAGCAACTTAATTCAACTGGCCTGCTTCAGTGCAGGGTTTGGACTAAGCGACCTCCCAATGTCTAGTTATCAGGTATCAGGAAGGACAGTCACACTAAGAAACACAAGCTGCTGTCCTCACCACTTCAGTAGAAAAGTGAAAAAAAAGATGACAGAGAGCAGCCCTTTTGCATAGAACCTGGGGTCCTGGTGGACAATAGAATAAGTATGACCCAGCAGAATGCCCTGGCAGAGACCTTGATTAGCAACACCCTGGTCTGGAACAGGAAGATGCCACTAGATCAAGGAAAGCAATTTTCCCCCTTACACAGCAGTCATTAAACAACAGCTGGAACACTGCATCTAGTTTTTCATCGCCAAGAAAGTTACTGATGAACTCAAGTGAGCCCAGTAGAGGCCACCAGAATGCTCAGCAGGCTGCAGCACTTGCCCTGTGACGAGAATCTGAGAGAGATGGGCTTTCTCAGCCTGGAGAAGAGACAACTTCAGGGAAAACTGACAGAGACCTTCAATACTGACAACACTACAGAGAAAATAGAGCCAGACGCTGTCTTGACTTTCAGGGTGGAAGGATGGGGTACAGCAGTCACTCATCACACTGGGGAGGTTCTGACAGCGTATAAGGAAAAGTGTTTCCCCATAGGTGTGGTGAAGAACAGGAATAGCTTTCTCAGAGAGGTGGTGAAATCTCTGACCTTGGTGGTTTTCAAGCCTCAGCTCCACAGACCTGTGCAGCTGGTTAAGGTAGGGCCTGCCCAAGCTCCCTTTCAACACAAATGGTTCTGTGAGCCTGTAACTGCAGCAGGAAGTTTCAAAGTTTGTGCTCCTTCCTTGTCAGAGGCTCAAAAGAGAGGTCGTGGTGGTGCCTTCCTGCCACAAATCCTTCCTAAGACAGCATGAAAAACTGGCATGCAGTTTGGAAGACAAAATAAACCCTTACAGGCAGCCCAAAAATGGAAGACTTCAAAAAAGACACAAATATCCAAAGAAGCAAAGGCAATTCATTAAATAGGAAGGACAATTCCAAGAGTCTAGATTTCCAATCCAAAAGCAACTTTTGGCAGAGCTGAAATGGCAGAGAATGTGCACCATGCCAGCTAGAAGAAATGACAAGGGAAACCTCCACTATGCTGTGTGGTAGAGGGTGAATATACCCAGTGGGAGAAAACACATGTGGGATGTCTGGAAAAAAAACACAATAGTTTGTTCAGATGTCCTCACTATCACAAAAGCCAACACCACACTTTCAACAGGACATGGTAACCAACCTTTCAGTGGGTAATATAGGCTAAATTGTTCCTTATAAACATGAGTTGAATCTTTCAATTCCTATTAACTAGTCTGCATCTACAGTGGAGTAAAAATGTGACTGCATGTTTATTATACTAACTTCAGCCAAACCACTTATTGCAGAAGAGTATGACACAGATTCCTCAGCTACCCCGTAACTGATCCAGCATGACTTTGCAGAGTAACTGAGCACACAAGCAAACTCAAACTTGCTCTGCAGGGAATTAATCTGAAATAGCTGTTCCAGACCGTGTTATATTGAAACTTTTATTCTAAAGTAAAGGAAGACTTTCATAGCCATTAAACTTGAATGTTTATTCCATTTCCACTTCATATTCTGTTTTTCTCATGCAAGCACACCCAAAAAGATGCAAGCCTCCACAAAACACGTCTTCCTCTTCACAGTGACCTTGTTATATCACCTGGAAGGGCTCACACAAGTCTGACCTCCAGAGAAAGAAAGGAATCTTACTCTTACCTGACTTCTTTTGTAAGTGTATATGTGCTTTAACATTTCATCCATGGACCTTTTGTTTTCTTTTTCATTTCTTCCCCAAAAACCACATTAGCCATGTAATAACAGACTGCAAGCTGGTAAACTTACTGTAGCATCTTCTGAACACGAAGCTATTACAAAGTCATTGAATGGGTTCCACTTGATGTCCAGAACATTCCCTTTGTGCCCGCATATTTTGGGATAATGTGGGTCGAGCTTGCCTGTCTGGAAAAAACAAATATCATCAGACCTAGGATGAGCCATGGAATTACAGGACTTTTTCAGTGGAGATCCAAGCCAGCTCCAGCAAGACACCTCTTTCTGCTTGTTATGTTCCTTTTGCTTTGGAATGCAAGTCTTCATGATATCACCAAAAAGAAAGGGGAAAAGTGCTCAGGGCTTCCTAAGTAGACACTGCTATCAAGAAATCTGTACACATGCTGCCATTGAGACTGCTGAAGTTAGAAGACAGTATTTGGTTCAGACACCAGGGGAAAAAAAAAAAAAAAAAAAAAAAAGAGGGAAAACAATTACAAATTAGTTGGATCTTACACAGTTTTTGAAGAACTTAATGGAAAAAATGAAAACAGAATCTCTTTCAACAGAAATTTCTCATAGGCGGGGGAAAAAAAATGTGTAGCTTTTATGTGTTAGCCTGATCATCCAGCTTTTATTTTATATCTCAAGCAAAAAGACATTTGCAACACAAATTACAAAAGCAGTTTTTCTTTCAATAAGCTAGCTGTTTCTCTCTGACGATGTTCAAATCCAGCCACTCACTGAATTCGACTAGCATTCCAGACTCTCAAAAAAAATGGCGTGTTTGAGTGGCATCTTCACTGATAGAAGTCCTGCACACAGTGCACTACGGAGGGTTGCCACATGGAGGCTGTGTTGCATCAGGATAAACCCAACCGCAGGCAGCGCCTCTGCTGCATCGGTGCATGTATTTTGTACTAGGAAGGGTGCTGCGTATTGTATTAACACAGGACCACCGCTTGCTTCTCTCTGTCTTGAGCAGGAGAACTATGGGAAGCTCCAGGACCCACCTTGCAACCCAGACATCTATCCGAGAGCAAAGATCAGCCACCTAAGGAGAGAGACATGGTGTGCAAACTGGTGATGCTTTCCGGCTTACTTTTATCCTGCCTCAAAGAACCCTAAATCCAAAGGAATGCAAACATGGGATCTCCTGGAAAGCAGACACTTTTGCTGGTGTACTCCCTGGCCTCCTCCAGAGATGGGTCTTAAAAGTCCACAGCAAAGAGGAGCCAGTGCTGACCCTAACTGGGAGGTGGCTAAGATGTAATTTTCCCAGGCTTGAAAATATTTACAGTTTTGAATGCACAAAAGGACTCGATGTGTAACTATTCTGGCTTCACTGGAAAGTTTGTCACATAGACAAGGACTAACCTGCTTTAAGAACACCCAGGGGGCTTTGAAATGTAAAAGATTGCTTTTTTAGACTACAGTCTAAAACAATTCCCTTTTATAACAGCAACAATGCAAAGCGACTTGGGAAGGCAGAAGAGAGATAAAAGGCCTTTAATAAGCAGCGTTCCCCCACCCACAGTGTCCTTTTGTAGGCTTCAGGGCTTGGTTTCAAGCTGGCAACGCAATGGGCTGGGCAGCAAGCTCCACAGGGATCCCTTGATCCCTATGGGAACTCCATCTCCTCCCAGAGCTGGCTACCTGTCTGCTCCCCACTCCATCTGGGAGACTCCCGGGCTGCCCTGAGCCTGCTCTGCCTGCCCCATCCTACAGAGCTCTCCTACCCACACATCCCCAGCAGGCTCAGTTGGCCTTGGAAAAGGAGACCTTGTCCTCCCAGCTCGCAGTCCCACCTGCCCCACTGCAATCCTACAGCCCTGGGATAGAGCAGGACCCACAACACAAGAACCCCCAGGCTGCCAGCAAACTTATGGTGGCACCCCACTTCTCTGTTGCTCTCCAAAAGGCACCAACACATGTTGTCGTCACGCCATGGTACAGCACCTACGTACAGCGTCAGTTAGGTGAGGTCTGAGGGGTCATCACAGGTTTCATTCCATAGTCCGTTCCCCCAGAGAGAAGGAGGCTGGGTTTGTGTCTAGGAGGTCTACATAATCACAGATGTTCTCCCTTTCACACCTGGTGCTGACACATTGAAAGACTGGGGACTGCAAAGGCTTGGACACAAATACCTTCCTGTCTTTTGGGACTGTGTTCTCATTTTGCTACCCCTTTGCTTGATGCTGCAAAGGAAGAGACAGGTACGGTCCAGACCAACTCTGGTTGCTGAAGAAGGAGAAAAGTTCAAAGAAAAGCCACAAAATTGCCTCCTGAGACAAGACCCTTCCTTAGCACGCAGTGCATACACTTTCCTAACGCATCTATGTCAGACACCAGCCTACACCCAGGCCACATTATGGCAGATCATGTCCCAGCTACAGTCACTGAGCCCATGACTCCTCAGACTTGCAAGATTTACAGGGGCATTCAGTTGGTTCTGGGCACCAGGCAGCCCCTGTGGCCACAGCCACCTCCCTCTCTGGTGAGATGTGCTACCATTCCACCCACCTGGCTTCGACGGCACATCTTCATGAGGACCTAACTGACGCATGCCGCAACAGAATACCATTGTCCAAGTGGTGGCAAATACTCAGCTAATTCCTCCTCAGGTTGAATGCAAGGGCCTGCTGAAGGAAGTGTATCTAGTGCAAAGAGCTCTCTACCTACATGACCTCCACGTCTCCCAACCGTACCCCACCCCCAGGCTCTCAGAGAGGAAGAGTGGTGCAGAAGGCAAGAAGTAGTATTTATTCCAGGAGAGATGAGAGAGCTTGGTGTCCATGACTCAGCAGGAGAGGAGCACAACAAACAAGCAAGGAGGCATGGTTAAACAGAGTAGAGTTAAGCCTGCATTTGAGCACATCCTGAGGCAGGCAGCCCCTCCAGCAGCACATGCAGAATGAACTAAAGAAAGCATTGGAGGGACAAGAACAGCTCCCCAGGCAGGCCGTTCATCCTGCCCAGAAAGCACAGCCCTCCCTGTCCAGGCTGCCATCTCCTGCTTTGGCTGAAGGCAATGTCCCTGGGATGTGTCTGTTTCCTGTGAACCCAGACAGAAGTACCACAGATCAGCCATCCATCATGAGAGGGCAATACTGTCCCAGGCACACCTCTGTGGACTGGGCTGCCTTCCGTGCCCTGGCAGCAAGGAGCACAAGCCAAGAGCTCAGTATGGTGTCTACCATGGGTCACCACCAGAGGAGGAGATGGCAGCCACAAATACCACCACCAGGAGCACAAATCAAAAGCTGACACTTTTCACCTGGTGGTACTAGCTTGGAAGTGTATCATGAAAAAAAAAGAAAAAGAACCATAACCACAGTCGCCAGTGTGGCTGAGGCTGCTTGTGCCCCTCAGCATGGGCCAGGAACAGGGATTCAGAGAACAGCTGTATGAAGTGCAGCACATACAGATCCCTGATCCACCACCAAAGGCCGACCCTCAAGGGACTTCCTGAACTAGGGGACCTGCATCTGCACAAGCACAGCTTGTAAACCAGCTCCTCTGCATAACTCTATCCTGTTTTAAATCCCTTAATTCTTCTGGGCTCATCAGCAGTCAGAGTAGTGAGCTCCACATCTGAACTGCAGAAGCATTCACATCTGCTGCTAATGGTCTGCTCCCTGTTCTCCAGGGTTCCCTTCACCACACAAATCAACAATTACTCTTTATGCTTCTTCCCCACATTCTTCACAGTTTTATACAACGCATTCATTTGTCTTGTGTCCCAGACTGATTGAGACCTAACCTACAAAGTCTTTCCTCACATGAAAGCAATTTCACATTTTCATTGATGTACTTTAATTATCCTTTTCTGCATCTTCTAGTTCTACCATGCCTTTGACTTCTGCAAGCAGGCTGGGTGGAGTATGTGAGCAGGTGTTAAGAATGGGATAATTGCTACTGAAGACTAGCCAAGGTGACAAGAGGTGAGAAGACACAAGAATTAATAGTAAGCAATGCAAGTATCATCAGCTTTTTTTGCCAGCACTTTAAGAGCTGTTTTCCATCCCATGTCACACAGTCACCAGCTACCTGCTTACAGATGTACCTCTGTGATAAAGTCAAGTTCTTCAGCCTCAACTGATCATGGTCGAGGGGGCAGCAGTGACTCAGCCAAGAAAAACAAGGTAGTGGTTAATTTTAAACAGACTGTCTCTGAACAGCACCAGCAGTGAAGGAGCTGAATAAACAAAGTCTACAAGAGCTAAAAACACTACTAGGTTCTTCAGGCATAGCCAGTTCACTTTCATGCTTTGCAAATATAGATTGAAAAAGTGGCATTGCAATAACACCATCAATTAACTTTTAATTAAAGGCTGAACTTTTGCCTTTCATCTGTTCTGCCTTGATTCCAGAGAGCTCATAATCTCATATTGAACTTAATCCATATTAGTGCATGCCTAATTTTTCTGAAGCAATAAACATCAGCTGGCCAGCTTTTCCCTCTCATCAGATCCCTAAGTCACCAAAACCCACAAACACGGGATTTGTTTCTGAAAGAGGAGTTTTTCCAGCATCAATTCTTGAAGCGTAAGAGCTTAGTTGCCTGATAACCATGTCTCCACTTGTTCAGAAGGGAAAAGGCAGAATGAACGTACCATGTTCTCCTTTGGTCACAGCTGAAGCCATATCACTAATGAACCTTTCAGGTTTTGCCCTTTGTAACTACTGTTTTTTTTATTTGCAGTTTCTCCTAGGAGACAAATATCTGACCAGCACCATCCCCGCTGCTTATAGAAGAAAGGCAAATGAGATATGAATTTAAGGAAGGTGTTAAAAACCTGCAAGCAGCAATGTAAGATATAAATACACACATCCCAGGAATCACCTGCCAGGGCACTCTGTACACACCCTCTGTGCAGCCTAGCTCCCTAGAGAGACCAGCTCTCCTCCAGACTCTTGACCTGCTCCCAAACGCCAGCTCGCCGCGGCAGAGCTCACCTGGTGGATGGGGATGACGAGGAAGGCCCCCCCGCCCGCGCACTCGGTCACCACTGCAATGAAGTGGGGGTTCACGGCGCAGAAGTGGTTGTCATGGACGTTGCGGGTGATGGGCACGCAGTCGTAGCACTTCTCCTTGCTGGCAGCTTTGCCGTACACGTGGCGGAACTTGGAGCTGCGGTACTGCGGGTGCCACGACATCTGCAAGGGGAGAGCACAACACCGCGTGACACACGGACCCGCGGCTGCCCCAGTAAGGTTTGGAGACCCCACGCCCCTTTCCCCAGCACAGGCTCACCCTCCCCACTCGGGTTCCTCACTCCAGACCGTGGCCAGCAGTGCTAGATGTGTTTCTCTCTGCTGGTCTTCACACCTGTGGCATGACCTGTCTCTGCACCCGTTGCACATCACTGATGGAGTGAGGAGACTGCAGGGCAGAAAAGACATCTCTCTCCATCACCAGCCAGCTGGGCAGTGCCTGCACCAGCAGGTCCTATCGCTGGGGCAGGGCCACGTGGCAGCAAGTTTAAGAGATGAATCTCAAGAGCACAGAGCTCAAGAAGCATGAAAGATACACCACCATGAGTGAGGAAAGACTGAAAGATGGTGAGTGAAAG